TGAGTGTCCTCCCCAGTGACCCAGTGCCCAGCTGAGTGTCCATCCCAGTGACCCAGTGCCCAGCTGAGTGTCCATCCCAGTGACCCAGTGCCCAGCTGAGTGTCCACCCCAGCAACCCAGTGCCCAGCTGAATGTCTGCCCCAGAGATCCAGTGCCCAGCTGAGTGTCCACCCTAGGGACCCAGTGCCCAGCTGAGTGTCCACCCCAGTGACCTAGTACCCAGCTGAGTGTCCACCCTAGGGACCCAGTGCCCAGGTGAGTGTCCTCCCCAGTGACCCAGTGCCCAGCTCTGAGTGTCTGCCCCAGGGACCCAGTGCCCAGCTGAGTGTCCACCCCAGAGGCCCAGTGCCCAGCTGAGTGTCCACCCCAGAGGCCCAGTGCCCAGCTGAGTGTCTGCCCCAGGGATCCAGTGCCCAGCTCTGAGTGTCCGCCCCAGGGACCCAGTGCCCAGCTCTGAGTGTCCGCCCCAGGGACCCAGTGCCCAGCTCTGAGTGTCCGCCCCAGGACCAAGCCCTCACCCCTGCTTGTGCTGCTCTTGGACATGCCTCCGCACCCTGAGGGGATGGCGCTGCCGGTCAGCCTGTTTCTGCCTAGTTTCGCTGATGGTCACACACGTGTGTTCCTCACAGGCTCCACACAGGGGTCACTGTGCAGCACCCAATTCCAGCTGGGAGCCAAGGGGCTTCTCTGTCCCTGTCCGAGTCGTGTTCTGGCCTGGCACCAGCCCTGTAATTGCTCCACACCTGTGTGACCAGCTGGAGTGTGTGCCCGGGGCATGTGTGCCTGTGGAGGTGCACGTGGTGTATGTCAGTGCGGGATGCAGGTGGTGTGTGCACTGTGTTAGGTGGGAAGCACATAGTGGGTACTGTGTGCTATATGGGTGTACGGTGTTATATAGTATGCTGTGTGTGTGGAATGCAGAGTGTAGGGGTGGTGTGTGGTGTGCATGTGGTGTGTAAGATGTGGGATGGTATGTAGTATGTGGTGTGTAGGGAGAATGTGTGTAGTGGGGGTGTGGATGTAGGGTTCAGGAGGTTGTCGAATATGTGGGTGGGGGCTTTGTGGTGTGAGGAGTGTAGTGGGGGAGAGGGTGTGTGGTGTGTGGTGTGAGAGGAGAGCACGTGTGTGGGATGTGTGGTGTGCAGTGGGGCGTGTGGTGTGTAGTTGAGCGGCAGAGGTGATGTGTGTGTGGTAGGGAGTATGAAGGGAGCGCGGCGTGTGTGTAGTGTGTTGGTGTGGGGGGTGTCGCCTGGGAGGTGTCGGTGTGTGACTGGAGATGGTGTGTGGAGACTGGTGTGTGTATGTGTGTGTGTGTGTGTGTGTGTGTGTGTGTGGAGACTGGTGTGTGGGGTGCGAGACTGTGGTATGTGATGTGGGGTGTGGGGCATAGTGTGGGGTGTGACTGTGGCGTGTGCTGTGGAGTGTGGCGTTTTGGGATTGGTGTGGAGTGTGCATAGTGTGGGGTGTGGAGACTGCCGTGGGTGTGGAGCCTGGTGTGCGGTGTGGAGTGAGGGGTGTGAGACCGCGGTACGTGGTGTGGGGCCTGGTGTGTGGGGTGTGGAGCTCGGCAGAGCCCCAGGGGAGGACCAGGGATGACTCTCAGGGCCGAGGACCAGCTCCGACCCCCCAAGCGCAAACCATGAAGGTCAGTGACCCCTCGCGGCAGGGATTTGGCTGTGCCCGTCAGACTGTCAAAGGCCACGAGAAAGGAGCTAAAAATAGCCGCAGGGCAGGTCCCCCAGGTGCTGGGGCAGAGGACGTGCTCCCTCTCTGCCCTGGGTGTGCTCCCAGGCAGGTCCTGGGTCCTCCGGGGGCCCTGGGAGCGGGCCCGGGGTGGGCGGTGCCTTACGTAACGGCGCTCGTGTTCAGCCCCCATCGCCAGCTGCCGTGGACGGCGCTGAGTCAGGCGCAGCCGCTCGGCACGCCAAGAGTTAAGGCCCCGGGGAACCTTCCCCTGCCCGGGAAGCGGCCTGCGGCCTGGCAAGGTGGCAATTTGGGGGCAGACACTGAACACAGAGCGTTCCTCGGATCCTTCCTTTACCCACGCAGGGGCGGGGCGGGCTCCTCTGCGCGGAGTCAGGGGGTCTGGCAGGAGCTCCCGGCAGAGACCCCCGCCCCAGGCCCCCTCCTGGACCCCTGCCAAGCACATGCCCGGAGGCACAGGAGTCAACCACCCCCATGTCAGCTGTTGGGGACCCGACTCCTCCTCCCCTCAGAGCCTGCAATGACCGGGGGGCTCCCACAGCCACCCAAAAGCCTCTCAGGCAGCCCCCAGAGCCAGGCATGGGGAGCGACTTGGGGGCCAGCACGGTGCTGATCCCGGACTTCACTGCTGACCCCGACGGGAGGTGCCCAGAGCCAAGGAGGGCACGGCTGCCGCCCCCACACCCAGGCCCCAGAGGTTTCTGGCCGTGGGTCCCTGGCACTGCTGGGGGCGGAGCCTGGTCCCCCCAGGCTGGCCGAGTCGGGCATCCCCAGCTCCTCCTGCCTGTGGCCTGTGGGCTCATGTGCGGGCGGGCGGTTCCGAGCCCAGAGGACCCGGCTCCAGAGCACGGACCCCTCCCAGGCCACTGCTCTTGGCATCTTCGGCGTCTCCCCCAGAGGCGCCCGCTACAGACACCCGCCCCTTCCCTGCCCGGAGTCGGGCCCTTACCTTCCCGTCCCGTCCGGGGCAGCGTCTGGGTCGAGGCCTCAGTTCCCTGCAGCCTCCCGGGGCCTTGCCCCGAGCCTCCTGCCCAGGGGGTGACTGGCACGGAGCCCCCGCAGCCGTCCTGGGAGCAGCACCCCCATCTCCGGGCCCGCACCCGGCCCAGCCCCCACCTCACTGCAACTGTCAGGAAGGGGCTGTCTGCCGCAGGCTGGGCACCGTGATTATCCCGGGCGCCTTAAGTATAGACGGGCAGGGGCCGCCCGGAGCCTGGGCAGCTCGGAGAGCACCCACGCCCTCCCGGGAGGGGCCTGACAGAAATCGCCGAACCCAGTGGGCCCTGCCCAGCTGGGGGGCAGCAGGGGGTGGCCCAGAGCCATCCCGGGACCCTGTGGGAGAAGGGCATCGGCCCCTCATGCCTCGACCTCCCGGGATGCTGCGGGGACCCCAAACCCCGGGCTCGGGGGGGGTCAGGGGGGTCAAGCCCGGGATCCCGGGCCAGTCTCAGGGGCCAGCAGTTCTCCAGACCACAACCCACTGGACGCTGCCCCTTGGCGTCCCGGGGGCCTTGGGGTGCCTCCCGGGGGACAGAGCTGGCCCCGGCTGAACCCCAAGTCGGGGTTTCCAGCCCAGAGCTGAGTGAGCCACAGTTGTGTGACGGGGGCTCAGGCCTCGAGCACTCGCTCCCTGCCACGGCCTGTGGACGCATGGGAACGTCGCTCCAGAAAACTGCGGCAACACAAAACTCCAAGGTGGCTCCACTTGGGTCCGAGGCTCATGGCTGGGAGCTGCCATGGGAGGAGCCCGGCCAGTGACTCAGCCCAGGTGACAGGGACAGAGAGGGTGCTGAGTGAGCCGGGAGACCCCCCAGCATCCCACTCCTGAGAGCAGAGGTGCACCCCCTCTTCCGGTGGGGAGAGTGAGCGAGAGAGAGAGAGACAGAGACAGAGATGGAGAGAGGGAGAGAAAGAGACAGAGAAAGAGAAACAGAGGGAAAGGGAAAGAGGGAAGGAGAGAGAGGGAGAGAGAGACAGAAAAGGAGAGAGAGAGGGAGAGAGGAAGAGGGAGAGGGAGAGATGGAGAGAGAGACAGAGAGAAAGAGAGACAGAGAGGGAGGGAAAGAGAGAGACCGAGAGAGAGGGAGAGAGAGAAGGAGAGAAAGAGAGAGAAAGAGGGAGAGAGACAGAGAGAGACAGAAGGAAAGAGAGGGGGAGAGAGAGCGAGAGGGAGGGGGGGAGAGTCACAGGCCCAGAGAGTAGGAGGGTGCGAGGCGCCCAGAGAACCCGGCTGAGTCCCCGCAGCCCAGCCCTGCTGACTGCTCCTGTTTCCGATGGGCACAGTGTGGGCAGTGCCCTCCCAGGGCCGTTTGCCTGGCGCTGTCCCGTGCAAGGTCTCGCAGGGACGCAGCCTCACCGGCATGGACAATGCCCCCCCGCCTCCCCCGCTGCCCACAGCAGTCATCCTCCAAGTCGCGAGACCACAACCCCAACGCCCAGAGCACTCCAGGCCTCCAAACGTCCCCACGGTGCCCAGCTCTGCGCTGTCTCCCATCAGGGGCAGACTCACCCCTGGGTGCTCCCTGCAGCCCCCCGGGAGGCAGGGCTGTCGGCAGGGCGAGTCTCCATCCTTGCTCGGGTCACGGGTCACCTCACGCCTTCACGCTCCCCAAACCTGCCCCGCAGGACGCCTACACGCAGGCTGCCGGCCACAGGCTCTGGAGGGATCCTGCCGGCCACTCCGAGCACTGCCCTTCTGCCCGGGCGGAGCAGCGGCGGCCCTAGCTCGGGCCGACTGCCAGAAAGACGAGAGTCCTCAGGACCGAGACGTCCCCAGAGACGCTCGCGGGCCAGCCGGTGTGAGGGAGCGGTGGGCTGGACGCAGGTGGCCAGAGCTGCCCTGGCTCCCCGGGAGGGCGGATGGTGAGTGCCCAGGAGCCCCCGGCGGGCTCTCCGTGTTCGGGCGCGGCGTGATGCCTGAGTCCCCCTGAGCTGCCGTCACCCTCACGCTTTCCCCGTCAGGACGCCAAGCTGGACGGGGCGCAAGGCCGAGTCCACAGATCGGACAAGCCTGGTCCAATCCGTGCTGGCCGCTGGGGAGGTGGCCGAGAGGCACAGGGCGGGGCGATCACAGGCCTTAAGTCAAGCAGTTCTGGGTCCTTCTGCGCCTGGGGTGGGCGCGGGGCTCTCTGCCTGACACTACTCTCCCGGGCCCTGTGTGGTCCCTCTCCCCGCCCCGCCCAGGGTCACCGCTGGGTCCCCCACGGGCCTCTCGTCTGTCTCCAGTTTGTGCCCCATAAGCAGGAATCGACGTTAGTGGGCTCAGTTTTCTCGAGTGTTTGTTCAGGCCAGGCGCAGCCGGAGCCAAACACTCCTCGGCGATGTTCACAGAGGCAGGCGGGCGCCACGGGCAGCTCCCGGCCACGGGTTTGTGTGAACCTGAGCTAGAATTCCCCCGTGCCAGGTCGCAGCCAACGAGACGCCAACAGACACACCAACAGCCGCCCCAGCGCCCGGCAGCTCAGGCCAGGCCCCGGCCCTCCCCGCCCGCCCGGGCGCCGGGGACAGAGGAGGGCTCCGAGGGTCCGGCTCTGCTGCTGCTCACGCACCGGAGCACAACCGCGCCGAGACACACGTGGCAGCCGCCAGAAGTGTCCTATATTCGACCATGACACTGTTCCGGAAGTGTGTGGGAACGGCGGTGGGGGGGGGGGGGGGGCGGGGGAATCACAAATCACGCCAGATGGTGACACGAACCACAGGAACACGCACAGGGAACTAAAAATGGCAACGCGAAGGTTCCACTGGCAGCTGACATGGGTCCCTGCCTCTCCTCTGGGGTCTCGGGAAGGCGCCGACTCACACCAAGTGGGGCCGGGCGAGACGGCGGCCTCGGGCACCGCCTTCTCGAACAGGCTCCGGGCCGGGCCGGGCGGCCAGCGAGAGACGGGCAGGAGGGACCGGCAGAAACCGAGAGCCCAGATCGGAGCGTCCTGCTAAGTCAAGCTGTCTGCTGGTGAGCCCGGAAGCCACCACGAAGGAAATCCTTAAAAATAATATAAAGCATCTTCTAACTGAAGAAACAAGACTGTAAAAATGGAAAATATTCACGAGGGCCCGGAGCGGAGAGCCGTGAGCTGAGCAGGGACTCAGTGGGGGCCCCTCCTTGCACTGCACGGGCCCCGACGCTCTGCCCAGAGCAGGCCCTGAGCACAGAGCCAGAAGGAGCCCCCGAGGATCACTGGGCAGGGCACCCCAAAACACAGAACCAATAAAAACGCAAAGCGAAGGGGTGACGGAGGCTGCAGGGCCACGAACAGCGTGTGAGGCTCAGCCTCGCTGAGGAGGATGAGCGTCCAACTAAGGGACAGACTTGGGCGTCGGCTGGGAGGTCAGCTCGGGGCTGGGGATGCACTCGGGCACGGGGCACCCACCACCCACACGGAGCTGAGTCCCGTCCCCCATGCTCAGCAGAGTCCTCCCAGTTCTGAGGCCTGGCACCCCTGCAGACTCACGGGTGCAACTTGGGCGCCATGCCAAGGGGCCACGCCGAGGGGCCACATCGAGGGGCCGTGGCTCCTGCCAGCCTCAGCAGCCCACGGGTCACCCCTAGTGAGCGCCCCAGCTAGAACGCCTGCAGCACAGCGCAGTCGGCACCCTTGACGGGGAACACGGCAGCGGGTGCGACACGCTCCGCCCCGGACACCACCACCAGGCAGGCACGTGGTCAAGCAGGGAGAGAAGGACAGGAAGGGACACGGGGCCACTTCCCCCCTAAGCCTCTCAGGGCTGGAGTCACAGCCCCGCGGGCAGGACGTTTGCCTTGCACAAAGCCAACCTAGGTCCCATCCCGGCATCCCACAGGGTCCCCTGAGCACCGCCAGGAGTGATTCCTGAGTGCAGAGCCAGGAGGAACCCCGGAGCATCACCGGGTGTGGCTCAAAAACCAAAATAATGATAATAATAATAAATAAATAAAACTCTCCAGGACCAGCTCAGACACCACAAACGCAACAGAACGGCACCCAGAGAGGCAGTTGCAAAACCATCGAGAAGTCCGAGCACATTTGAAAGGATCAAAATCCTCCAATTAGGACAATCGCAGAAAACCAGAATCAATACCAGAAGGAAACTCGAGTTCTCGAATACGGGGAAGCTGACCAGCGCACTCCTAGGAACCAACTATTTTTTTTTTTTCGCTTTTTGGGTCACACCCGGCGATGCTCAGGGGTTACTCCTGGCTCTGCACTCAGGAGTCACCCCTGGCGGTGCTCAGGGGACCCTATGGGATGCTGGGAATCGAACCAGGGTCGGCCGCGTGCAAGGCAGACGCCCTCCCCGCTGTGCTATTGCTCCAGCCCCAGGAACCAACTATTTTAAGAAGAAGAAACCAAAGGGAACTTAGGACGTATTTGAGGTGAGTGAAACAGGAAAAGCCACAAGCCAAAGTTCAAGCAACGTCTGAAGCAAGACGCACGTCACGTGTGCCCACTAGGGAAAAGAAGGAAACCCCCAAAGTAATGACCCTGAAAAGGTGCCGGAAAATAACAGTAAACCAAAACAGACACGGCGGGAGGAAGAGGCCCAGCAAGACTAAAGTCACTACTAACGCCAAAGATTAAACAAATACAAAACAATGGAAACGAGACAAATCTCGGATAGATCAACAAGGTTTATAAGCCTTTCGGATCGATGGAGAAAAACAGAGAAAAGACTCAAGGAACTAAATAAAGGGAAGCAATCGCAGCCCCGAGGAGGGATCCCATAGAAGGAAGAGTGAATGACAGAACTCCATGGACAAATGCATGACCATCATGGAGATAACATAGATGAATTCTGAGGAAGACAGGCCCATGGTGAAATGGCCTTACAGCTCTCCACAAGGAGTGAGGCCATTGAGTCCACGGTCCAGTACATGAACTGCATGCATCCACGAGGGGTGAGGTCACGCTCCAGCACATGAACTGCATGCATCCTTGAGAGGCGAGGCCATCAGAGTCGATGTTCCAGTGCATGAACTGCATGCATTTATGAGCGGCAAGGCCATCAGAGTCCACGTTCCAGCACATGAACTGTACATCCGGGGTGGGGGGGGTAAGGACACGCTCCAACGCATGAACTGCATGCATCCACAAGGGGCGAGGCCATCAAGTCCATGCTCCAGAGCTTGAACTGCATGGAGTTACATTTCTTAAAGGTGTCTTACAGAAAGCAAAAACTTTAAGACCCGGAGGAGATGCTATTTTGTACTGGCTTGAGTGACAAAATTTAAATGACAGCAACGCCACTTTGAGAAAGGGTGAAAACCACGGAACTCCCCCACTTAGACCCATTTGGGGGGTGTTTGGGCTGTCACACATCCCTCCTCCCCAGGAGAGCTCACTGCTCATACTTTACTTAAAAGGCACAGAGACGCAGGTTCAGGAAAGTGCCTGCATCACACATCCCGTAGGCGACTTCATGTGCGACTGGAACCAACGGGAATCCTTCAGCGCGACAGACGGAATATGGGCTCTCATACCTAACGTGGATGCTGCCGCTTGTGCCAATTGCTATCATGAATATTTTAATGTATTAACATAATATTACATATTACTATGAACACACAATGATACCACATACACACGCTATACTGTATTATGAATCTCAACAATGAGAAGGAATAAACGATCGAGGGATTTACAAAGTATCAGAGAGTAGTTTGCGGGGGCCCACCCGGAGATGCTCAGGGGTTACTCCTGGCTCTGCACTCAGGGTCACGCCTGGAGGTGCTCAGGGGACCAGATAGAGACTGTGGGGGATTGAACCTGGGTCGGCCGCATGCAAAGTCAGCGTCCTACCCGTTGCACTATCGCTCTGGCCCAGAAACTAGACCTTTTGAAGAGTTAAAAATATTGTGAACCGGGGATATGGTGCTGCCAGCAGGTCAACCTGTACCTGTGAGGCGAGTGCATCAGCAGCCTGATGGCGCCTCCAGGCTTCCTGATACCCCCAAATTGCTGCTGTGCCTTTGGCCAAACCCAACAACTTGGGACCAAGTTTACCAAGAAATTAAACGGACGAGATTAGTACCAGGAATTTTGCTCCATGGCTTGGAGGCCAGCCACACATGCTAGGGGAAAAGGGAGCTCAGATAGAGAAGGGAGCACCAAATAAAGGGTGTTGGGAGGATCCTCCCAGGGTGGGAGATGCATGTTGAAAGTAGACTCTGGACCGAACATGATGGCCACTCAATGCCTCTTTTGCAAACCACAACACCCAAAAGGAGAGAGAGAGAACAAAAGGGAATGCCCTGCCACAGAGGCAGGGTGGAATGGGGGGGTGGGGGGGTGGGGGGGTGGGAGGGATACTGGGACCCGTGGTGGTGGGAAATGGGCACTGGTGGAGGGATGGGTACTTGACCATTGTATAATTGAAACCCAAGCACAGAAATTTGTAAGTCTACAACTGTACCTCATGGTGTCTCACTAATAAAAATAAAATAAAAATAAAATAATAATAATAATAAATTAAACGGCCAAAAAGTTAGATATGTGGGAGATACACCCACAAACCACCTCCGGCTCAGTTATATAAGCTCATTTATTGGTCTTATTTCAGAGACCCAAAAATCTCGAAAGAGATCAAAAGACACAGTTAGGGCCTATAGTGTGGAGGTAGGCGGGAACCCGTGACTGAGAGCTCCAGGCCTGCTCGGATCGGGACTGGGCCTCCTTCCCCCAGGCCCCCAGTTTTCCAGCAGCTTGGCAGTCACACCCACAACCTCCCTCACCCCCGCAACATGTAATCTCATCAACAGCCCAGACCCAGAGACTATAAACTAAAACTCCCACAGAACTTCCCACAGAATGTCCTGGACATCATATTGTATCCATAACAAGGAATACAAAGCAAACCGTCTAGCATTGCCTCTTCGGCAGGTTTGAGAGGTGGTGGGACTGGCATCGGAATACCGAACGCAGCCAAAGTAGAGAGAGAACTTGCCTGTCACACAGGCAGGGGAAGGGTTGGAAAGGGAGGGGGCTTGGGGGGAGGGCAACACTGGGAGTTGTGGTGGTGGAAAATGTGCACTGGTGAAGGGATGGGTGTTTGATGACTGTATGACCGAAGTTCAGACATGAAAGTTTTGTAACTGCATCTCACGGTGAATCAATAAAAAGGGGGGGGGGGGGGAAGGGATAATCATAAAATAATAAAATTAACATTCTGAATTTTAAAAAATGTAATGTGGTGCTCATGCCCAATTTAATCAGCTTAATCAATGGCTGAATAAATAGCAGTACTCCTACATTATTTAAAAAAAATATTTTGACCCTACAGTGACATTTCAAACTTAAGATTATGAGACTGTTGCCAACTTG